GCTTTGCAAATCACAATGGCAGTAACGCACAGAACCGCAGGGGGGCCCAGCGGCGACAACGCGCGCCGCAGCCCCTTCTGGAGGCTCTGGGTACTGCGCCTGCCACTGCAGAGAGCGAGGGGGGCCCAGCGGCGACAACCCGCGCCGCAGGCTTCTGGAGGCTCTGGGTACTGCGCCTGCCACTGCAGAGAGCGAGGGGGGCCCAGCGGCGACAACGCGCGCCGCAAACATCCTTCTCGCAGCATTTACAATGCGACTCCGAACCGGCAAGAACCAATACTATGGAAATCACAATGGCAGTAGTGCACAGACACAGTGTGCGCACATCCTGGCCGCAGCCATTACAATGCGATTCGCAGCCTGTCACAACCATTGCGTTGCAAATCACAATGGCAGTAACGCACAGAACCGCAGGGGGCCCAGCGGCGACAACGCGCGCCGCAGCCCCTTTCTGGAGGCTCTGGGTACTGCGCCTGCCACTGCAGAGAGCGAGGGGGGCCCAGCGGCGACAACGGGCTCTGGTTACTGCGCCTGCCACTGCAGAGAGCGAGGGGGGCCCAGCGGCGACAACGCGCGCCGCAGCCCCTTCTGGAGGCTCTGGGTACTGCGCCTGCCACTGCAGAGAGCGAGGGGGGCCCAGCGGCGACAACGCGCGCCGCAGCCCCTCCTGGAGGCTCTGGGTACTGCGCCTGCCACTGCAGAGAGAGAGGGGGGCCCAGCGGCGACAACGCGCGCCGCAGCCCCTTCTGCAGTCTCTGGATGACAGGCTCTGGGAGTGTGAGTGAGTGAGTGAGTGAGTGAGTGATGGAGTGAGTGAGTGACTGAGTGATGGAGTGAGTGAGTGAGTGAGTGAGTGAGTGAGTTGGTGAGTGGAGTGAGTGGAGTGAGTGGAGTGAGTGGAGTGAGTGGAGTGAGTGGAGTGAGTGGAGTGAGTGAGTGGAGTGAGTGGAGTGAGTGGAGTGAGTGGAGTGAGTGAGTTGGAGTGAGTGGAGTGAGTGAGTTGGAGTGGAGTGGAGTGGAGTGGAGTGGAGTGGAGTGGAGTGGAGTGGAGTGGAGTGGAGTGGAGTGGAGTGGAGTGGAGTGGAGTGGAGTGGAGTGAGTGAGTGAGCGACGGAGGAGGGGAGGGGGCGAGGAGGACGGAAGGAAGGACCGGCGGATGCGGGCGGGATGCCAGCCAACAAAACTAGAACCCCACACAGAGATGTGGGGAACAACAATTCTCTATAAAATCGAGGCTCTTGAAGGACAGGACTTTACAAGCTCCATATGAGCCAAGAAAAAGTGGCTTAAAAAATGGTCTTATCGGGGACCCAACCCCCGCGATTCTATAGAGGAAATTCCATCCCCATGGTCAAGTATCCTGTACGAGTGTCAAGGGGATTCACTGATTTACCTGTCTATTTGGGACACTTGTGTACAAACGCAGTCGTTGACTTAAGCGATGGTCGAATGGTTCACAAAAAGGTGGTTCACCATGATCCACCGACCCTTAAGCACAAGCTTGCCATCGACTGCACCAAGAGTTTTTGCCTGTCCTTGACTGTCTGAAATACGATGAAATGGTGTCTTTCTCAAGGGGTTCCACCTGTTTCCTTCAGACGGCCACGACACGCCCACGACACGCGCCAGTTGCAGGTGGTCGAAGGATCGCCGTCCAACATCCACACAATCACCTGCCGTGGCCGGCGAGTGGCCGGCGAGTGACATACCTAGCACTTCCTGTCCGGGTGCCCTGTCTGGAAACTGATCAGTAGGGTAGGGTAGTCCAGCCAGGACACCTCTTCGATGGTGCTAGGATTTACGGCCGAGTCACAGTCTCCAGGTCAAACGCCACGGCCAGATATATTATTCAGATAAAATCTATGTAATACATTATAGATTTATACATTATATATGGACAAGATACAGTTTTCCATGTCAGTGGTGAAGGTGGATTCAAACACAATCCAAAAGGGCGAAACAAAACCCAGCCACAAAGCTCACCAGTCTTACTGGGAATCTCTATCTCCTTGGGGTTTGGTAGTGCTTTTTCTGGGCGAAATAAACAATCCATTTGGGAGCTTGCCGTCTTGGATGATCTCGCTCAAGCGAACGAGCACACATTGGATGATGTGTCCCCAGCTTTGGAGCTCAATGCGTTACTCCATGACGCAGCACGCTGCGTACCCCGGAAAAGCTTCTTCCACGCCCCGCGCCACGAACAATGAAGGCAGGGATGAGCCAGAACAGAATACCAAGAGGAGGTCTTCTTCACTGTGCGTTGTCATCACATCGTTCTTAGGCGAGTTCTCAGCGCCTCCGGAGAGCTCTTCGCGGCGATGGTCTGCCAACCGCCCATGTCAATCCGCCCTCAGAGGGCTGCGGAAATACCCACCCGAAGAGGGAGCGAAAGAGAAGACTTCTCGTTTGATGCAAACAAATAAGATGAGAAATCCCAGTCAACTGGATGAACTGGATGTCTGGCTCAGGATTTTTGACAGCTGATTTGTAGTTCTGTAGTGCGCAAGCCATGAGAGACCACATGCTGTCCTCAACGATTTTAGGACGATTGGGTGGAAGGTTCTCGGGATTGAATCTTGGTGCCAGCTAGGATCCCAGAACGTAGCCTCCCACTCGGAAAACCTCTGATCAGGGAAATCGCAGAAATCCACAACCCAAAGCACCGATGAAGCCAACGAAAGAGTCCCTTTTTGGGATGGCTCCTTTGGAAGAACCAGACTGGCGTGAGGGACCAAACACCAATCAGGATCTGGACCAATCCCTGATGATGATGATGATGATGATGATGATGATGGCGGCACAAAAGCAACACCCGGCACACGCCCGGGCTCATATCCTCGGCAGCATCTATCATTTGAAATCACACGTACCCTTCCGAAAACTCACTTGGGACCCTGACGTCTCCCTGGAAGATGGTCTTCCTCTATGCCAAGCAGTGTCTTTTTCAGACACCCATGGGATCGTCTTCGACATCGGCTGGAGCGATCTCTTTGCGGGTCCAACCCGACCCATTTTGCGCCACCGGACGGGTCGTTCTACGACCCGTCACCGGACGACTGGAGAGACGATGAGGGATGAGAATCCATTGACGTGAATCAGATGAATAAGACCCTAATCCCAATGAATGTGACGCATGGACGTGATCATTGGACTTGGGTCATGGGAATAAGGCTGAATAAGGTCCCCCAATCTCGTGAGATCTCAGCGTGATCAAGTCAGACCAGCCTTCATCTTGCTGTTGCGTCGTCCGCAGATGTGGATCCGATCATGGTTCAACTCTCCAGCGTGAGAAATTCTCATACACCGCTTCGTTTTACACTCGAGGATATGTATATGGTTTTGTGATACACTCACGTCCATGATCTTCGAGAATCCACAGAAAAGAACATATATGAAGTGGCACATTCAAGACATCCGTGAGGGACATCACCTGAAACGTGGGATCAAACTCCTTCTCCCTGGTGAAGTCACCAAACACAAGGTAGTTTCACCAGGTGTAGGGGCATCCACCTGTATTTTCGTTTGGATGTTTTCGTTCATCATTACGTTCTATTTCACATTCTTCCCCAGCTTCACCCCTCGCACCGCAGAAGCCGGTCTTTTGGGGCGACGCGAGCCGACTGAGCGCTCAAAGCTCCTGACTCAGCGAGCCGCTCGTCCGACTTCCAGCGGTGTTTGGATCCCAAAACGCCGTCCGTTCGGACCCTTAAGCAACATCGACGCGAACCAAGTCCAGCACAAGTAGATTCGTGGAATCAGACCACTTCCGCGCCCTTTGCGAAGTCAACAGAACCCGTGCACCTGTTGAGTGAGCAAAACACCTGAGTCACGACCCTTCACCAGATGTCGTCCACAACATGCCGACGTCACGTCGAAGCAACTCCCTGTCCTCGGTGGCCAGAAGGCCATAGAGCCTCGCCGTCGTGGCATAGAGGATGTTCTGACGATCCTCCTGGCCCCCAAACGCTTCAGGCCGGCGAAGGTCGGGGGCCGAAAGGAGGACAAACTTCAGGCGGCGAAGGTTCTTCCATGTCCGGAAGGTTCTTTGTTTGGTAAGCTTGGTTGTTCTTCCATGATCGTTTTCTTCTTAGTTTGTTGATACTGATCGGAGGAGTCTGACTCATATTCCTTTGTGCAGTGGCCAAACTTCTTCGATCGATCACAGCCCCGTCGGGCTTCGAACCGACTGCGCTCGTCGCTGCAGATGGATGGCCGAAGCCGTGGAAGTTGAGAGTCGAAGCGCAAAGTCCGGTCACACGATGTCACAAGAGTATGATGGATGGGAGTATTAGATGAGTATTGGATAAGACTTGAATTTGACAATATGGTTTAGCAGGGAGGCCATCGCTCTTTGGTTGGAGGCCATTGTTATTAGGTTTGTCAAGCATCTGTTTGTGATCAAGTTATCACCATCCCATGAGCGCTCGCTCCACCTTGGACATCTCCTCCCAAATCGGCCAGGCTTCCAAAGCATGAACGGCCTGGCGACAGTCAAGCTTAGTTGAAAAGTGTTGGGTTAGACATGATTAGACAAGGGAAAACACATGTTGAATTTGATCTGTTTGACCAGTTGGCACCAGTTGGAACAAGGGTGTCTTCTCGTTTTCGCACTATCTTTTTTCTCAAATCACTGGAAGTCTGACGCTTGACACGCCAGGTTCACATGGTACGCAGAGCACCCGCGGCCCTCCTCAGTCTTCAACCTATACAACATGCATCGTCCATCATCCTGGGTGGCCATCCTCTCCAAAAAGGAATCGATTACCGTCGTTGATGACCTAGACTGGGGCTGGTTGCCAAGCCTCCGGTCTAAAGTCCAGTCAAGTCATGAAACACAACGACGTTGTGTTGAACAGTGGTTGCCCATGAAGAGCTAAACACTTCAACCTGGTGTCGTTCTAGTACCGAAGCTAAAGCAAGCAAGCGCAAGGTTCTTTCAGCACCCGGTGCCGGAATATGGGTTTCCACACCACAGCCAAGAATTAATGGCAGGAATCCAACCAACAAAACCTATGATGACATCTTTAGAATCCCTTCACAGAACGTTTGAAAAGGAAACCATAGGAAACCACCCACGTCCAGAGCCGTACAATGTACCAGCGTTGCAAGGAGCGCCTCTGCATAGGAGGAGTGCTCAGTGGCATACGGAAAGTCGGAGCCCCACCTCATACAATGCTCTCGACGGGTGAAATTCCGATATTTGACACTATACTTACATGTACAAGCTTAGCTTAGAGTAACTATGATTAGATCGTGCATAGTCCGTCGCAGAATGTTGAACACCATTTCCGTGTGCATTTGATCGCTGATCCTGAAGCGATCAATGTGTTTTATATGTGTTACAGGTGCGTCAGGGGTAACAAAGGGCATCGCTACGAACGGAGCGTTCGGACGCTACGAACGGGGCTCCTGGCCTTACTACCAGGAACAATAAAGCTACCACTTGACTTGGGTTGCCACTTGCAGCAAGTCCCATCTGAAAAAGGCTTGCACACGTCCCCTCCTTGTAGCTCGGCGGATTCAGTACTTAGCCTTTCAGCAACGAAATGCAGTCCACTACTACTATGTCCTTATCACTTTCGCTCAGCCCTGATGGGATGGGTTTTTGATGGTTTTTGTGACGTTCGCATCGTTGTCACCGACGGCAGGATAGACAGAATCTCACCATCCCAGAAGCTCTGCTGATCCGAGCCGCAAGAGACGCTGAGAGCCAAAGACATTCAGAAGCTCCTAGTGGCCAGCGATGTATGACTCTGAACGAAAACACATGGAATCTTCAGTGTCTCAATGCAGGTCCATCCTTGAGCATCCAAAACATGCCAGAACACTAGGTCTTGATCTCAGTTTTCACTCCCATCACCAGGTCAAAGCCATCTACTACGGAGCTCCGTATCTCTTCGCCTTTTCTCATCCAGCATCGCCGCGGCGGCCGAGGAGGGACGCGGCATCCGGTCCTTGAGGCGCTTCGAGAGCGACGGGAAGGGCGGAGGATCCTCCGCCACGCGGAACAACGCGCTGATCTTCACGTGGACCTGACGGAAACCGAGACCGCCTTCGCGCGGCGAGGTTCGAACTCGTGCCGACGTGACGTGACTAGCCTGACCCAGTGAAGGATCTATTTACCGTCTTTACCTTTCAAAAGTCCCGATGGGGAATTGGCCTCAGTGTAACACTGCATTCTCTTAGATAAATATTCTGAAGCTTGGTGGGAGTGAAGTCCTACCCGGCAAGGAACCCAAAGGTCGTGAAAAGAAATTCAGAATCCTTTACTTCAAAAGTCCTGTCAGTTCCTTCAGTTTCCAGCAAACAGGCGATTGCTCGCTTCCTCCCAGGTTGGCCGCCAAGCTCAGCAGTTAAATGTTCCAATAGGAGTCTGGTGTAACACCCAAGAAACCATCCAAGCAGCAAATGGAGCCAATACTTGCGGTAGGAAGTTGCTTGAAACACGGATTCATTCGTCATTGCACCTTTTGGTCCAGGAGTGTTTTCAATGCAAAAAGACTGTTCATATTCCTGCTCTTGGGAAGAACCCAAGCACAGTTCTTTCGGATATCACTTGCCTACCGCTTCCTCCCGAAAACCTTGAAACCTAAGCTATGACATTCCCTATGCATGTCTGCAGTGCATCCTTTCTACAGAGTCTTTGGTCATGGCCTCAGTTTCACCTTGCTGCTACAAACAAACTACACTACACGTTCTGTCTATATATGTATACCTCTTGTGAAAAATAGGAGTTTAGGTCTTGGCCCTATTGGGACTCAATAAGTTGGCTCGTTGCCTGGGCATTTATTGATTGAATCTTTGTCAGTGCCTCCCCATGCTCAGCGCCCAGTCCCACCTGGGGATAGCGGCTGAGCTGAAGCAAACGGTGCCAGGAAGCCTCGTCGAAGCTACGCTCGCCAAAGCCTGTTGCTGGCTGTAGAAAGAAACCTCGGCTCACCGCAGTCAGTGTGTCAGTATCGGAGATGAGGGAACAGTCTTTGAGCTGCGAATCTATCGCAGAATTCCTATCCAGCCTTCCGTTTCTATGTTTCTATTCATCTCCGGCACATCATCAATAGATGATTCCAACCTCAACATCTCAGCCAGCTCTCCACACAGTCTTGCCAGCCAGCCACATCCACATCCTCCCCGACCCGTCCGTTCCCCAGTGCGATCCTGATCCCTGCGGTCCAAATCCCAGCAGCCCCAATGATCGATGATGACTTGGGTTCTCTCGTTGGACTTCAAGAGCGCCTCTGCTTCGCGCTGAACACATCGGCGGGCCAACGACGGAGGTTGAACATCAGGTGGTTGAGCTAAAGGGGTTTGGGGACCAAGGACGGATGGGAAACTCACATGTTGGAATTCTTCCAGGGGGGAGGCATAGTTCATGTTGACACACTCAGACAACCATAATTACCTTTCCGCTCATCTTTGATATCGATTCAGCGCTCAGTTTCCGCGTGGAAATTTCCGGCCGAAGGACCGAGGCAAGGTGCGCACTTCTCCTTCCACGGTCATCCCCCTTTATCCCCCTTGACTGCTCTGTCGACATGCCTCCCTTGGACGTCTCATCCCCACAAGGCTTCCCGGTCGTTCGTCAGCGCCGCTCTGTTCTCGCGCTCTGTGAAGATGCGACGGTTCGCTGCATCTCGGCGCCTCGAGGTCATCGGCGTGTTGACTCAAGCCTTTGAAAGGCATCACTCCCACGGGTAGCCCCAGATCGCCCGCTGTTCGAAACCTCAGACTCCGGGTGACTAGGAGGGGCGTTGGGGACGATGGCAACCGACCGGGGTGGGAAATTCCGAAGGCAACCAAAACTGAAGATCTGGACGACATAGATTGGGGGGCGACGAATATCATCTGCGTTCCTAAATAATGAGCTTGCAGGTTGTTGCATGCAGCGATCTCTGCTTTGGTGCATGTGTGGGTGGGTGCCTTGGTAAGCGTGTCTCAAATGCGCCATACCAGCAGAGTTGTTTTTCTTGACCAACTTCCATTCTTGGCGCCCAATCACATGAACACATACACACACACACACTGTAGATCTAGGTGGCTTGCCCGTCTCTCATATAGAGAATATCAAATTTACCCACTCATGAACATGAAAACTCGATCTTTTACACATCGATGACACTGTTTTGAAAGCATTCTTTTTGACTGCAGCGAGCCATCCAAGGAGCAATTCTCGGCCCACGTCGTCCGACATGCCCTGGCCCTCAGGCCATTTGTAGGGGTTGAAGCGCACCCCGACCTGGGCTGCACGGAACACCTGCACCGGTGCAGCGAAAGCAACACCGGGAGGATGGGAACCGTCACTCGAACTCGGATGGACTCGGTTCACGCAGTTTGCGGGATGAGCATCCAATTCTCAGATCAATCAACCCTTTAAAACAGCTGGTCAGCTGGTTATCATGTTTTTCTTTGAACCTGAATCCTCAAGTATCCCCCTTGAGTTTTCCCCTCCAGAAGCTCGGGGATTTGGAAGGGTCCACCGGTTCACCGCGCGGGTCGCGGGCGACGATGACCAGGTCGCCGGGGAAGGCGAGCCTGATCGAAGTGACAAAACTGGGATGACGATGACCAGCCTGATGAACAAAGTACAGGAGGGTGGTGCCGGAGGGTACGGAGTGGTGCCTGATGAACGTTCTGTACAAAACAGGAGGTAGACTTCGGATGGGTGCCGGTTGTTTCCTCTGCTCTTCGGTGGAACCGAGAAAACGGCGCGGGTGTTGTGTCCAATCTTCGAAGGCAAACGCATCCACTCCCCCATTCGCTCGTCTCAGGCGCCCAGTTCGCATGGCTCCGAAGAATCTCTTCCATCCTCGCAGTCGAGATCACACTGAATCACACTGAGACAGTGATTTAATGTCATATGACCTCTTCCTTCTAGAACGCGACATTGAAGGCAGCAGGCTCTGACACATTCGTTCCAATATGTTCCAATCATCTACACTGCGCCTGGGAGATGGGATGAGCACACTAGGCCCTCAAGAGGTCGGTCTCCAAATTCCGGAAAACCGTCGATGTTCCTCTTCTTCCCCGTTTTCTGACCAGACGTTTTGGATGACTTCCCCAACCCGTCGAACCAAGGGTCACTCACTCCACTCCGGCGCGTCCGTCGGGACCCCGGTCCAGGTCCGGGGCGAGGCGACGCTGGGATCAGCCACAAAGACGCCGAAGAGCCGCTCGGGGTGTTGGTCCATGGCTGAGACCACGTAGCCTTGGGACGACGGCATCCTCGCGGGGACGGCGGATCCGACAATGCGAAGCCGGTGGAAAGGTGTGTTTTGGAGGGTAGGGGGGGGGGCAGGTGAGAACAGGTGCCCCAAAACAAAAGGTCTCGGTTCACGTTCTTTTTTACAGTGGCGCGAGGGCATGAGCGTGTTCTTTGGACGACCAATTTTTTCAAAAAAAAGTGCCAAATGAAGGACCTCTGCGGTGATGCGATGCCCCATTCGTTTGCACCGGGGTCTCACCGTCGTATACTTGGATGGGCCTTTGGTGACCTGTTGGGCCTGCAGTCCGAGGACACACACCAAGCGCCGCGTGGAGGCCGAGTGCTTTGAAGGGCCTGTTGGGCGGCCGAGTGGAGTTGCTTCATAGCTGGGCCTTGAGAAGAGTTACTTCGTGTCCATCCTGGTCCATCAGCCAGGATACCAGTAACTCCTTTCGGTACTTGGAGGGATGAATCCCTCCTGTCCCACCGGTTCCACCCGCATGCTGCGCCCCCCGCTGCTCCGTCGACCGTGTGACTCAAATCTGCCAGGCCACTGTAGTCTTGACCATAATTGATGGGTTGCACCACCACCTCGAGTGGAGATCCAGAATCGCCGAGCAAAAAGAAAGCTCAAACGGAAAAGACGCACAACACATCGGTGTTCCAGCGACCACCATCAACAAGACAATCTGCGCACTAGGGGCTCCTGGCCGTACTACTAGGAGCAAGGACGCTACTAGGAGCTCCTGGCCGTACTACTAGGAGCAGAAGCTACTAGGAACTAGAAGCACTACCAATCACAGCTCGCTGCACCCGCTGAACGCGCAGGAAAACCGAGGAAAGCGCGCAGCAACTGTGTTGATGAACTGAACCATCAATTTCATTCAATTTCCAGTGACATACGTCCCCGAACTAGTAGCACGCTGTAGGATATCGACGAACAGCATTTCGCCGTCCGTTCGTCCTCCCCGAAGCGGACATCGTTTCACCTCCCTGGCTGCCCAGGGGCTGCTTTTCGGATGTCGTTCCTCGGTGGTTTCTATGGACCCCCTGTGATTTGAAAGACCTCTTGGGGGTGCCAGCACCATCGGCTCTGCAACCACTGTGGGGAAACAAAAGCAGCATGTCTTCCACCAGCAATGACCAGCAAACGTATAGTCTTGAAAGTACTAAAGCGGACTGCTTGTCAGAATGAACCTTCATGCCGCCTTTCGCATGTCTGGTTAGAAGTTGTTTTACCTCGAAGGACCTCACAGAGCCCCCCCCGGTTCTTCAACAACTATTCTGAAATTCCACCTCGAAGTCATGATGTCATGCGGTTCTCGATGCATGAACTTCGCGATGGAAAACGGACACGTCCGACCCACGGTGCGATTTCTGTCCGGCCCGTCCGACAGAAAAGGTGGATCCATCCCATGAGGATGCGATTTGCAAAATAATTGCACATTCAAGATATAGCAATTAGGTTCGGTGTGAGTGCCACTTGCGCCAATGCCTGGGTAAAATGCGTGCAAAGGTGCCCCACCAGCTTCAAATTCACCAGGTTTCTAGTTCAAAAGGCTCCACGTCCAAAGTAGTTCAGTCCGAAACGAGAAACAGCGAAAACGAGCGGCAAGTGCACATCTGCAGAACTGAATCATCCAAAAAGAGCTTGAAGACCTACGATTGGAAAATGACTAAAGCATTCACAACTCAGGTGCAGGTACGCCAAGTTGATCAGACTCGGTATCCGTTGAGTGAGATCCCACAATCATGCCCCGCACTCCCCGCTGTAACATTCAAAGCCAACTGGCTCTTTACGCGCTCTGACAATTGTATTCAGTTAACTCACTTCCCAGGTCAAAAGGAATGAGGGAAACGCAAGGTGAAAGGGTCAGCGCAAGTGTGTAGAACGTTGAAGGTGGAGCTTTGTACAGAAAGCGCCAATATTGGCGCTGCGAAAAAGCTAATAGCCACCTAAAAGGCCTTAGAAAGACAGACAAAGCAAACAAAACAAAAGCAGACTAAGAGGGCAAGAAAGAAAGATAGGGGTAGTTACGAGGCCCACTTAGTTAAATGAAAGTAGAGCGCGAGCGGGGCATTTGTCTTAAACCGCCCGGGTAGCTAGCAATAGGCTAGGAGAAACAGAAGGAAAGGCACCAACACACAAGTGTGTTGAGTGCGATTTCCTTCTGTTTCCCGAGTAGCGGGTGGGGTAGCAAAGGGCCCAGGGGTAGGGAGGGGAAAAAAGTGCACAGTTAATTTGTCCGGCCTGTGAATACTTAGCAGCACATGCACATGTGAATACGTAGCCGTCAAACATCTCAGTGCAGAAAAATGCAAACGCTGCAAGACTGTCAGTTCCTGTGGTGAGGCCCGGCGGCCGTTGTGGCAGTTAATTCGGTGGTTGTGGCGGTGACTTCCAGTGAAGTTCCTGTGAAAAGTGGTGAGGTCAGTTAGTGCTTGCACGATGAGACAGCGCCCCAATGACGGGGATCACACTCAGCACCCGAGTGGGACGGCTGAGCGAAACACACTCTGACAATTGTATTCAGTTAACTCAGTTCCCAGGTCAAAAGGAATGAGGGAAACGCAAGGTGAAAGGGTCAGCGCAACTGAATTGTTGAACAATGTTCACTTGTCTGCAGAAATGCGGCTGAACGACGGCGGCTGAAAGCAGCTGTGGGAAACCTGTTTGTGGGGAAGGTATCGTGAAAGAACCATGAATCAAACCGTGGAAAAGTAGGGTGACAGCTTGTGGAAAACTTCGCAGGTACATGAGAGTGATCAGCTCTCACTTCCCTCGACACATCATAGCTTCGTTGCGTCAGGTAGATGTGTCGAGCCTGACGCCCCTGCGGGTGAAACTGTGGTTAAAAAGTGGTGGGTGAAGTGGCGGTAGTAAACCCTTGGCCCAGGGGTTGACACACACACACACACACACACACTCAAAATACTGCTACACCGGCAACTGTTCTTTTGATCCAAAGCTCTCATCCATCAGCTTCACAAAGCTCTCGATGGTGGCACGACCATCGTTGAGGTGTTCTGGTGGAGCGGTGGACCATGGGAAGGACTCCTGGAGCGTTACGGAGAGGGGCCTCCAGTGCATCGACACCCCGCAACACCCGGCGAAACATTCTTCCAGCCAAGGTGTTTCTTTGTGTCCCAAATATTCCCAAATGATTGCCAGCATATGAGGCGATTGTTGAAGGACGAATCCATTGGATTGATGCTGATTGGATGATTTCCTAATCGCCCCAAACTGTCCACACATCCCCTTGAACTCCTCAAAAACAGTTGGAGTCAATGACATTTCGGGAGAAGCAACTCCAAAGCTGAGATCTCCAGTCGAATCAAAAGCAAATCCTCTCAAGCCCTACCAGGCGCCAGCCGGACTTGCCGGTGTCGATGCACACCGAACACACTGCCGGACATCCAGACTGTCTGACTTTGTTCTGACATTCTTCAGCACTTCTCGTCATCAACCTTGTCACAGTTTCAAAAATACCTCTTGGGGTTCGTGCGATCTCTGAAACCACTGTAAGCTGAGAAAAGAAGCACTGCGAGCGCGAGCGCGAGCGCGAGCGCGA